CCCCCCGCCGAGCAGGGAGCCCGATGCGGGACTCGATCCAGGGACTCCAGGATCATGACCTGAGCCGAAGGCAGTCGCCTAACCAACTGAGCCACCCAGGTGCCCCGAGAACCTGTTTTTGAAGAGAGAATAGTAAGGCGAGAGGGGGAGAGGAAGAGAGACACATGTGGGGCTTGAAAAGGACACATTTGAGGTATCTTTGAGAATTTATCTGCGGAACAAAATTCCAAGGTAGAAAGAACAGAAAGGATGCATTTTCATTAGCAATTTTAGAATTTTCACTTCTGGCCATGCATAAATCAGATAACAATGCCACCCTTTTTAACCAGATTATTAAACTGGAGAGTCCTATTTCTCCTATCTTTTTCCCGGTCCTTTTATTTGCTTTTCAGTGGCCATTATAGTTAAGGCTGTAATATGCAACTCTTCTTTCTCAGAAAATGATTGTTTCAGTTCAGCAGTGGAGGTGAGTTTCGAAGTGTTCCCTTTTTTAGGGGTAGTAACTCTTAACTATGATCACACTGATAGAGATGATGAGTGAGCAGAATAGGAATGGATAAACGTTCCATTTGCTTGGCTTCCCAAGGCTCCTTGATGTAGGACTAGCAACAAGGTGAAGCCCCTTGCTGGCTTATTTACTTAATAAGCATACCTAGAGGGATCATCTCAAACCTTACGTGGTATATAAAGTTTGAAGGAAATAGAATCATTATACCAATTATAAGAGATTTGGGAGACTCATGTTCGACGTGTGGATTTTCAAGTGCCTACCTTATGGTGAAACTATTTGAAAAACTATTTGAAAAACATTTTTGTTCCCCAGTCCCATAATTTCATGATTCTAAGAGACATTTTTATTTCATCATTAAATAAAAGTGTGTTAGTGCTGGAGGAAAACCTTACCCATCATCTGAAATAATCTTGTTAGATGGGGTGAAATAAGCCTTAGTTTGTCCAGGGGACTCAGTGATTGAGTTCTGACTAGAATTAGGTAATGTTCTTCAGATTTAATTTTCCTTTTTTTGTTTATAGCTCATCAAATATTTATCTTTTTCCCCTTTCAGTGGGACTAAAACTTCCTGGTTGTCTTGAGTTTGGGTTCCCCAGAAACAGGCACTGAGACAAGAATTTGATTATAAGTAGTTTATATTGGAGATGATCCCAGGAATCGCCGGTAGGGGAGCGAGGATATGTGAGACAGAAGGACAGAGAGCCAATAAGTACATTATCAAGCCAGCTACAACCTGTGGGGGACTGGAGCTGTATCCCGTTGGGGAAACTCTGAAACACAGTAAATAAAAGAGAGGAAATAGCTCAGTGTTACCCTACCAGAGAGGGGAGGAGCCTGGGATTTTATATCCTAAGTTGTGTGAGTCTTTGATGGCTGCTTCTGTGAGAGCATTAATTTTCTGGTAGTTCTGGCCTGACAGGCAGTGGGTAAAATGGCTTTTCTCTGAAGGCCAGAGAAAAGCCTCAGGCAAAGAAGTGCGGGAGTTGGCAGTTAGATGTAGGGCAGGTGTGTCCCGAGTGGTGATGTCTAGGGGTTATGGTTGCTTCCCTCCGCCAATGAAATGAGTGACACCAATACACCAACTGAAGCGATTTGAGTAAAAATGGGACTAATACCACTAATTAGACACGTTTTACTGGCCCCATGGGAGAATAAACGTACAGTGTATAATTGTATTTTGCCTAGAGAGTTTTGGAGGTAGGATTTCTGGTCTTCAGAGCAGTGAGGACTTTAGTAACAGGAGGGCTATTTCATGTGTCTGAACAGCTTGCTGCAGGGCACAGCAGAAGTTTAGTAATTGGATTTTATCAAAAATGGTCTACAAGTCTATAAATATAAAGGTAACTTCAAAAGTGACTTTCAGTGTGTTACACATTGCATCTTTCTGTGCTGAAATTAGCTTAATATTTTATGTTGGGCAACAATGAGTATCCCCACGGGCAGCCAATGTGATTATATGGCAAATTGGAAAGAACATTCATGTAGACTCACTAACATCCTGATATAAGCTCCAAATATATGTTTGGTAAACATATGGTTGAGTAAGTTTCATATCTCAGAAGAGTCTCGAAAAGAGATCACTTCTTCTGGGATCTCTTTGCCTCTGACTCATGTAAAGGATTGTATATTTCGCAGCAAAAGGGATACTTTTGTCTTCCATCACTGTGTTCTTAATGTCTGTACATGTGCTCAGAACAAAGAAAGTACCCAATAAATATTTGCTAAATGGGTTAGTAAATGAGCGGAATTTGTGCAATGCTCAGTGTTTCTTTCCTTTTCTAAGGTCTGTATCACTTCTCAGTACCAGAAGATGTAGTTCTTGGCACTGCCATAGGGAGGGTGAAAGCCAATGATCAGGATATTGGTGAAAATGCACAGTCATCCTATGACATCATTGATGGAGATGGAACAGCACTCTTTGAAATCACTTCCGATGCCCAGGCCCAGGATGGCATTATAAGACTAAGAAAGGTAAGCTAAGGAAGGGTTTGTTCATCTTCCAAATACCTCTTCGAAACTTGAGTTTTGAAGTTGACAGGAGTTGGGTGCACTTCTTTAGCTGTGAAAAAGTTGAGTCCTTTTTGCACCTCATACCTTTGGCCCCACTTTCTATTCCAGCTAAAGCCATGCCAAGCAGTTACCATGGTGTGGCTAGCTTCGCATCTCATCCATCATTTCTCCCTCATCTATGCCCCAGTGTTCTTCCCTAAGCTGAAGGAATTTACCCAGTTCCTTTCCAGAGCACTCCAGTCACAAAGGGAAGTCAACACTCAGAAGGTAAACCTCAAGCAATGAAGGACATAGATTGGTAGGCTGTTCTTATTCTTTGAAGACATTATTCTGAGGCATATTTTCTATGGTTCTTAAGAGGATTCCCAGTAGGGATAAGATTCAGTTGCCCACAGAGGTGGCAAGTTCAATGGTTTTAATCCTTCTCTGTATAACTCTCCCCATTTCTGTACTCCTGTTTCCTGGAATGTCTCCACAAAATGCATTGAAGATTCCTAAGTTTTTATTGCAGGCTCTGCTTTCTGGGAAACTCAAAGACAGACAGAGCCATCCACCTCAGTTGTTCTAGCCAGCTCTAGCACTAGAAGGGCAGGGCCAACCCTGCTACCCTAGGATACTCGACACCATGTATCAAAAGTCCAAGCATTATGGTAAATGAAGCTCATCTTTGCCTCACTCGTGGGTGTGGGGCTACCATTGGAGAAAGAAATATCTCCATGAATAGTACAGGTAATGTACAGTGATTTGCATCTACTTTTGCCAGCAGCCATTTCTTTTGTGATAGATGGGAAAAATTCTGTACAGTGTTTTCTGTATCTGTCTATCATCATGACATTTACATTCAAAAAAAATGTGTAGAATGCATTTCATTATTTTGTGAGCATTGGCATTTGCAAGGAAAATACCCTTTTATCCTCATCATGAGTATTTTTTTCAATATTGTTCTTCATGTCTTTTTCACAAAATAGTACAAATTAATTTCAATTAAATCTGTTGGTTCATGAATAAGAAGATAGATGGCAGAGCACACTGTTGGGAGCCAACAGTTCTTCTGTCTGTTTTGCTCAGCATTACATTCATGTGATTCCAAGCTTACTATCTAATTCTCTCTGTTGTATTACATAGGAATCTGCTTCCAATGCTCATGCTCTTAGAATCCCCCATTGGAGACATGGTGACAATGGGAACCGGGAGTTTTCTGGATATACTTTTGTATACAAAATCAATTGTTTAAATTAATTTTGAGGGGAAAACAATGGCTGCATTTATTTTAACTCTGTGCTTTCTACCTGGCTTGAGTTTAGGTTAAGAGTTGCAAAGTATTTAAAAACTCATGTTTAAAAGAGAGTACAGTATAATTATACTTGAGTCAATTACTGAATAACCCAGAGCCACATTTTCCTTGATTCCTAATGTCATTTTTGATTCCTAATGTCATTTTTATTGTTATTATTAACTGCTATCCTTTGCTACCATAGGGTACTTTTATAAACTGAAGCAATTAGCCGTGTGTTGTAGTTTTATTCACTGTTATTCATAAACACGGAACTATATACTACACATTTTGACACCAAGAAACCCATGTATTTTACTGTAGAGAACAATGTGTTAGGGAGTCGTATTTCTACAATTCATGGGTCTTCTTTTTTGTCTGATAAAATCCTAAGGACACCAGGATGTGTTTGGATACATTGTCATTATGTGGAGCTCAGAAAAATAAACAGAACGTAATCTGCTATATTTAACAGTGTTTGTGAAGAATTTGAAATTGCAAAATTGTTACAGTAGGGGTGATTGGCAAATTATGAAAATGCTGATGTTGAATCCTCTATTCATACGTACAGGTGCCTAGTAATTTCAGAATAGACAGGGAAGTGAGTATCTGCCTTGTTTACTAGAAAATATTTCCCCCAAAAGCCAAGTCTCATGAGAACTGAATTCAGGTAGATAAAATCAATCCCAAATTTTGAAATAAGTACATCTTTAAGCTTGTACAGGGGTTCTGAAAGAGTTCACTAATGCCAGGTTGTCTTGCAAATTGTTTTTTTTTAAATCTGCATTGCAGGGGCGCCTGGGTGGCTCAGTCGTTAAGCGTCTGCCTTCAGCTCAGGTCACGATCCCGGGGTCCTGGGATCGAGCCCCGCATCAGGCTCCCTGCTCAGCAGGGAGCCTGTTTCTCCCTCTCCCCCTGCTCCTCCCCCTGCTTGTACTCTCTCTCTCTGTCAAATAAATAAATAAAATCTTAAAAAAAAAATCTGCATTGCAGATTTGAAGTTCTGTTTCTTATGAAGAATTGCAGCACACACCTAAATTGTCTCTCTGAACCTTGACAGACTTTTATTCTTGAAAGCTGAAGTGTTATGAGTTGCCAAGACTTGCACTGTAAGGATTCCGATACAGATGGGCATCTGAGTGTTTAGGGGAACTATTTGCTTCTCCCTACTTCTGTTTACCTAGGTCATTAGCTGAGGTTTCAGGGGCTTTTAAGGAATGAGGTATTAATGTGTCAGAAATATTGTCAGTAATGGTGCAATGAGGTAATTTCAAATTGCTTTTAAGTGGTTGGTAGAGGTACAGACAAACCTAGTTATCTATCTATCTCTCTCTATATATATTGCTTTTACCCTTCCTTCTTCTACATATAAACACAGATAAATATGCATCTGCATACATATTTCCTTATATGCCCACCTGTTTCATGGCCCTGAACTTATAATAGAGACCTTCTAAGAATACCCTAAAAAATAATAAACCTCATTTTAGCCACATGATCCGTAGAACAGCGGTGCTTTTGGAAGTGAAATAAGAAAACACTCTTTGTTGGGATCAGTGCTAAATTATGCTTTATAATGTCTCCTTGGACTAAACAATGATTATTTCTAGTTTTTACATTTCACACACTGTTGCAGAAATGATAAAATATTCTTCCCAGATAGAGATTGTGTTCGATGCTGCCTTATCTCCTACCAGCAGAGGCCCGATTAACTGGCTGATTGGTATGCAGGTCATGCCACCACTAGTAAAATTTTATTATGACTCTGAAGTGAAATTTTGATGGCACAATTCATGACTGTGAATATTTTGTGAATTCCAAGTGAAATGAGCAAAACAAAGCAAAACAATAGGAGATTAGATTCACTGAGCTTGTATAATAAACAGATATCAATAAATGCCTGTAAAATTTACAGGTTGAATCTGAGGGAATGGAGAGTGAGCCCATTAAGGCTCACAAATGGGCTTAAATGCACATAACGACCATCCATCAGCATTATACTCATTTGTTCTTGCTGCTGTGGTCATTAGTGAGAAACATTCATCTTTGTCATTTCTTAACAGCCTCTGGACTTTGAGACCAAAAAATCCTATACGCTGAAGGTAGAGGCAGCCAATGTCCATATTGACCCACGTTTCAGCGGCAGGGGGCCCTTTAAAGACACGGCAACGGTCAAAATCGTTGTTGAGGATGCTGACGAGCCTCCTGTCTTCTCTTCGCCGACTTACCTCCTTGAAGTTCATGAAAATGCTGCTCTAAACTCCGTGATTGGGCAAGTGACTGCTCGTGACCCCGATATCACCTCCAGTCCTATAAGGTATTTCTTTTTTAGAAGGTGTACAGGCTAAGTTAAATGATGAGCACATCAGTACAAAATGCAGTTATGTGTACATTCTGTGTGGCTGCCTTTGGTAGCATGCTCACATGCCTGAGGAGTTCTGGTCAACACAATGTGTGCGTGCGTGCTCTTAACACGCCTCCTCAAAGCTACGTACAGTACCCAGAGCCAGGAATATCAGGGTGAATAAAGCTATTGCCGCTTTCAGAGAACTCACTGAAAATGCAAAATTGCGTACATTCTGCAGTGCCTCTGAGTGGATCTTTTATATTTTCTCTGCTTGATTGTGTATTCGGTTTTTTTTCTAGTGTTGGGCAAGTATTGCTGGTTTGTCTTCTTTCCTTTTTGACAGTTAAGTGAAGTACATATAAGGATTTTAGGGGCATGAGACTACTGTCTCAGTGCGTTAAGAGGCCCCTGTCTTATTTCTGTGTTTGGTGTTTGGCTTTGAAATTGTTTTCTTATCACTTCATGGACATTTCTGATAGGTCAGCATCTCTGGAGTGGTGCCTTTTTAGAAAATATCTTTCTCTTCCATTTAAAAAAAAAAAAATGGAAGTACTTTCCTTGTTCAGAACTTTTTCCCAAGATGAAATAATCCTTTATTAAAGTTTTTCTGCCTTTTTTTAGAAATGAGGCTCATTTTTTTTTTCCTTTTGAACTGTGTACATCTTTTCTCTTTTGCCAGTCATCCAAATGATGGTACAAGTGCTCAAGCTAAATAGCTTGCTTCCGAAAGAACACTGAAGATCTGTAACTTGTACACTGGTCTCCAAGGGTGAAGTGTTGGCTAATGATGTGTTTGAGTGTGGATTTCAAATATTGTCTTAGAAATGTTTGTCAGGAGAGAGAGAGAGATGGAGGAAGACGGTTTTAAGGAATTGTCCATTTAATCTGTGAATTAGATGTCAGTTGATCCCAACTTATTGAATGGATATACTTCCATCTACTTTAATCAAGGAAACTCTGGCCAGGTGAGCTTTCTGGAAGTTTTATTTATTCACTTCTTTTTTATGTACTAAACTCCCATTGCTCATAAGGGTATGGAAACTGTGAGACTACAGTTAAAACCCACAGAATAGTCAGTGCCCCAGATAATTTTAGTTAGGGCAAAAAAATCTTTCTTTTCAGATTCAGAAAAGCTGGTTTTAATACAAGCCACTTCAAAACTCTTGATAATGTAGAATGTATCCCAAAAGGATACAAAAAAAAAAAAAAAAAGCTTCCCTCAAAAGAGCCCAACCTCTAAGAAGGTAAAATCCCACTTGGGGTTTTGAAAAATGGTCAGTTGTCCATTCTCAGTTCTAAAGAAGTTCAGCAATCGATAGCCACACAGAATGCCCATATTTGCCTAAGAGAACTGTGTCTCTCAAAGGACCAAGTGTTGAATACAAGGACAATAAGTATCCAAAAAACTACATGTATGTGGTCATCCATTTTCTGACTACATGTTGAAGTTATGAAATGGCTGTATATTGAAATGCTGATTTATACATATGGGCAATGCTGTCTGTTGAATAATGAGTCTGTCCTGTTTTATGTTCCTGCATTTTCTCTGAAAGAACACAGACAGGAGCAATTGCCACTTTCCTCGCATCTCCAAGCATGAGACCGAATGAAGGCAGTGAGTAAGATGGGTTCAACTGAGTGACGGGGCCAGTTTTAACACTTGATTTGACAAGAGTTTTACTCTTTTCAGCAAGGAGCACACAAAGGGCTCAGGAGTATGCCAAGCCAGGGGCCTGTAGGGAAAGGGGGGTTCAGATATTGGGGCAATCTTGTATAAACTCCAAACATGGAATGCATAGTGGCAGTGGGAACAGACTTCCAATGCAGAGACATGGTCTTAATCAGCTAGAGATGAGGGCTGAAGAATTTGTCATGCCCTAGTGATGGCAACTGTCAACTTGCAGAACTGGTTAAAAATCCAGGTTTCTGGTTGCTCATGTATTTTTGCACATTTTGTTATCTTTCCATTTATTGATGCAAACATGGAGATTTGCTGATACTATTTCCAGTACCCAGGGAATCCAGTGATTATTGTCATTGTAGTTAATTATTGTTGTTACTACTGTTGTTATGTTTTATTATTACTAGTGCTTTGAATTTATTTTATTTTATTTTTTTAGAGAGGGAGGTGGGGAGGGGCAGAGGGAGAGAGAGAAGCTCAAGTACACTCCACACCCAGCTCGGAGCCTGATGCAGGGCTCGATCTCAAGACCGTGAGATCATGACCTGAGCCGAAATGAAGAGTTGGACGCTCAATCCACAGAGCCTCCCAGGCGCCCCAAATTCTTACCACTGCTTTGAAAGGCAGGTGTAGAGGAAGCTTGAAACTGCTTAGCAACAACTGCCCAGCTTAGGAGTGTTTTGTTTTCAGGCAAGTTAAAGGGGATTTGAGGCTGTGTTACCAGGAGAGATGGACAGATAAAATAGCATCCGATGACAAGGACATATCTGTGCCTCTGATAGATTTCAAGCAAGCACTCATTCCTTGGCATCTGGTCCCACCCAAAGAAGGGGTGAATACTGTTTCAAAGCATTTTACAACAGGGCTTTGATGTCCGTGTGATTCAGAAGGCAAGTCCCACACAGGTCTGAATGCAGGGGGATTGGCTGCATGGGATGAGAATGTAAGAATCATCAGCTGCATGTTTCAGCACCTGTTCTGCTTTTCTGCAGTTGTTGCTCCACCCCCCCATCCCCTCCCACAACCCCACTTCATGGGGTTATGGAGAGCAGCTTTCCTCTCTCTTGGCACAATTGGTTAATTTGAGTAGAAAATTAAATTTCCTGACTAGCCAGAGTAATGCATGGTTCCTTATGAGTCTAGCAGACAGATTAGAGCCATTCAACCTTTTTAAACAGAACTAGAGGACACAGATATTCAGGGAATTACTGAGTAACAAATAGCTATGCATTACTGTCTCTTTAGAACTGTTGTATTTCATATGCTGACAAGAATATGCCCATCTTTTAGGGGGATGTTTACTTTGCCATGCAGCAAGAAATAGGCATTTATTGTGGCATTTGCCGTGTTAAAATATGCAGTCATTTATTGGTTGGTCAACTTCCCGTAAGACTCAACTTCTTTTGAGAGCACATCATCAAGCCGGAAATAGCATGTATTTTAAAATTCTTAGACCTGTATTTATATCTATTCCTACACCTCTATCTGTATCTTTATCTTTATCTATATATTCCCTTTCAGGGGAAAATAGACAATGACACTGAGGTTCTTACCTTCTTCCTTCCAGGAACCTTAATTAAACATTTGCTACTTTTTTCAGTGCTATATGTCTCTCAGTAATATTGAATAATGTTGGGTAAACTATTTAAAAGATGTTATGTTTTGAACTTATGCAAACTAAAGTTCAAATTCACTAGCCGGTCTCTGGAATTCTCTGAGACTGTCTCTTCATCTGTATTTTGGGATAATATCATGTCCCTCACAGGGTTACTGAAATAATTAAATTAAGTTATTGAATTTAAAAATGTAGTAGCTATTAATTAGCATTGCTAGTTAATAAAGCCACCATTGGTGTATATCATAAATGCAAATGAAAAATACAGTGCTTATTTTAACAGAGATTCTTCTCCTAAAGGTTGCTGACTGTGCAGCATTATCTGTTTTTCCTATAACAGTTACTGGCTAAATAGTTTAATTAACCTCAGTTAGTGTAATTTGCCCCTGCTACTGCTGTGAATATTGTTACTGGTGAGTGCTCAGTATGTGGCAAGGATGTGCTAAATGTACTCATTTCATTTCCTAACACCTCTATACGATAACATACTCATTACCTCAACTTAACAGATGAGGAAACTGTGGATAAAAAGCCTAAATTGCTGAGTATCACACAAATAACCAAGAGTGGAACTGTGGTGCATACCTAGGTTTTTTCTGACAACACAATGCCTATCCTCTGTCTCTCTGCCACACTTTCTTCCCGTGTGATCTCAGTGACTTCAACTGTGTCTCTGCTTGTTGGAACAGCTTAGTAGGACCAATTTTAATTGAAATCATAAACTACTCATTCTCTAAATGGCTTCATTCCATTCGGGATGCAAACCAACAAGGAAGGAAAATATCCCAGGTCTGTGTAATTAACCAGAACATGGATGGAATGCTCCTTGCTCATTAGTCCAACCCCTTTGTATGGGTTTTGTTACTATTGGCTGTAAACCCAATTGTGATTAAGGAGGTAAAAGAAGAAACAATCTTCTAACAGTAGCATAAATCAGACATTGTGCTAAGTTCCTATTATGTATCATTTCACTTATTTTTCATAACAGATGCTGTGAAGTAGTGAGTATGATTTTAGTTTTATGGAGAAGGAAGCTGAAGCTCTAAAAGGATGAGTTCCTGTGTATTGTCATATAGTATGGAGTGCAGGGCCAGGATTTAAACCCAAATTTCTTCTTACCATCGACTACCATGCCTGTGCATGCTTTGCTGTGTTCTGGCATTTTGCATGAGGAGTGGGATGATGGCAGTTCATTATTTACTGAGCCCATCCTTTGTGACAGACACTTTGAAATGCTCTTATATGCAGCTAACTGTTTATATGTAAGGTAAAAATTCTTAGCACAGACTAAGTGTTAAAATATAATCCAGTGCCTTCATGTTAACCTGCTGTGGTTCATTTTTTTCCTTTTAATAAATTTATTTCAAGTGTGTATTTGGTATTAGCATGGTGTTGAGATGACATGTGATTGTTGTTTTTAGGTAGTTGCTTCCTATTTCTTTCAGAGCATTCACCTTGAATAAGACTACATGAGCTGCTTAAAATAAAAGTGGGGATGATGGCCATTCAGCAGGCAGAGTAGACTGACACATGATCATGGTAGCCACAGTGCTCTGTTGTCCTAATTCATCTCCTGAATGTAAGTGCCCACTCAACATAAGAGATTGCATTTTGTTCTTCCTATTTGAACTTGGGCATTTTTATAATTCACTGCAGTTATCTGGCTTGCTGTTA